AGAGGGAAGAGGGAAAGAAAGAAATAAAGAAAGACATTATTGATAAGAATGCACCATGGTGCAGCTTTGGAAAACAGTCTGACAGTTCATCAGATTGTTAAATGTAGATTTGTAGTGTGCAATGATTTGTATGTGGCTTGTCTCCAAAGACTTCATGTGTTGAGAGCTTGGTCCCTAGGGTAATAGTTGGGATAGATTATATGGAACCTCTAAGAGGTCATCCAGTAGAAGGTCCCTGGTAATTAGAAGAACCGGGTGAAATAGATTAAGATAGCTCTCATGGGATCCTGAGCTTTTGTGAGAGCAAGTTGTTGTGACTAAGACCAACTCCTGAAATACCCTCTGGCTTTATTTGGCAACATAGTCTTTCACTGCTGCATGAGCTCCTAACAGGATGCAATCAATCACTAGGCCCTCACCAAAGACCAAGTGAATGAGACTGCCTGATCTTGGACTTTCCAAGATCAAATATGTGAGGAAAAAACTAAACAAACAAAAATATTTTCCTTGTAAATTTATTTTGCCTTAGTATTCTCATTTCAGTAATGAAAAAGGGACACATATACCATTAACCCAACAATTCTACTCTTAATACCCAAGAGAAATATAAACATATGTTCACACCAAAATCTATGCAAGCATCATTCATAATATCCACAAAGTGGTAACAGCACAATTTTCATTAACTGAGGAATGGACAAAAACATTGTGGCATATCAATATAACAATATTTTCAGCAGTAAAAAGAAATGAATATATATATATATATATATATATATATATATCACAACTTTAGTGAAGCTTGAAAATATAGGCTAAGTGAAAGAAGTCATAAAAAATTTATAATTTTATTTATATGAAATTTTCAGGCAGTTCATAGAGACAGAATGTAGTAGAATGATAGTTTCCTACTGATGTGGAAATATTACATGTGTATGAATGTATATATCTTATATATTTACAAATGTGTGTGTGTATATATATATATATATGTTTATTTGACTAGGAATTTATATCTATAATATGTAAGATATAAAGTACTCCTACAACTCACTCATGAAATGACAAAGAATCTAAAAAAAGCAGATTATGAAGATAGTGACAGAGAAACTTGGGATGGTTTTCCTTTTAAATATTGTACTTAAAGATCTTTTGGAAATTTTGGGGAGAAGGGAATATCTGACCAGAGTCCTGAATGAAAGACAGAGTCTGCCATTCCATTATGCTGTAGAAGAGTGTTTCCAGAACAGGAAGTAGCCATTTCAAAATACTAAATCTAGCATGAGTTTGGTTTATTTAAGAATCAGCAGCTCCAATGGAGCCAAAGTTTTGTGTCCATAAAGCCAAAGGTAAAAAGAATGATAGGAAATAAACTTCAACAGGTAACTGGGAATGATGTATTATTCAATAAGCTGTCCACCTTTCCCATTGTGAAATGATTCTGCCTCATGATGATGACAATGATGATACAGCAAAACATCTCCAAGCTCCCATTATGTCTCTAATGGCCCTCAGATAGGTCCTCGTGGAAAAGCTGTAACTATGTAATGTGTCCAGAAGTAAATGTATCCCTAATATGCACACCAAATAGGACTTATTCAAATGTTCCTTATTGTATAACTAGCACAAACTCAGGATAACCTTGAATTCTCTGTCCTTCATATATTTTATCAGCTTGGTTACTTGATTTAATCAACATTTAACTCAAAAGTCTTTCATACTGTTCCATACTGTGTAGTTTTACCGATAATTCCCTATTCATAGCTTCAATCTGATCCTCTGAATTATGCTGTTATTCCATTTATAGTATTGTTTTCTGGTGTCTCTACATATATCTTGGGTTTTATAAGAGCACATATCATATGGTATGTTTTATGTTTTGTGGTTCTGTAGGAATATCCTTCAGAAAGTTAGAGTATAAATTCCTCAAGAAACCAGGCTTTGCCTGTATTTTCAAACCTCTCCTGGTATCACATGCAACTACTCACTAGCACAGTTATATAATCTAGTCTGGTTCAAGTAACTTCTGAGGCAAATAAAAATTTAAAGGGACTTTACCAAGAAATTCTGAAGTCAATACATCAGAAAGAGGTAATCAGACTAAGCATTTATTATGGTAGTATGATAATTATACTTAATTTTAAAGGTTATGAAAAAAATTCTTATATTTCCTTCAGTTTTTAAAGATACTAAGTCAACTCTCATCTGTTAAACTTTCCTTGTAATAGATCAGTTCTTTGCAGTTGATAAACATAAATAAATTCCTGAAGCATTTTTGACAAATTTTGATAAATCAGGTGTAACAAATGATATTTGACAAAGTTTTTAAAAACTTTTGCACTTATGAGATCTTTAACTGAGAATACTGTTGTTCTGAACAAGACCAGCCACTGATTGATCATCAGTGTTGGGTTCATAAGCAGCATTAAAGCAGCATCCATACTGAGAAACCTAAAATAATACAGATTAGATTATTTAAGAGTTACAAAATTTGGGAAAAAATAATTTAAATTGATAAACCATAGTTTTAAAATGATGCTATAGTTTCCTGGACAGAGCAATATAAACCAAATGAAAAAAATAAAGTAAAAATTTTATGCATCTGCAGAAAAACGTAAATGTTAAGTCAAGAAACATAAATCAAAATATCAAGGAAAATATTGCAATTGTACTTTCTAACAGATGGACTCTGAGATGTAGAACTATTTGTGACATCTAGTAAATGTTTTTCGAAATCAGTGAATTTCCAAGTAGACTAATGTGATGCACAACCAGAAAAAAAAAAATAAATAAAAAGACAAAAATCCCACAAAACCAAGTATACTGAATGTTGCATCCTGACAGTCACTGAAAACAATATAATATGTGACTCCCCCCATAAAAAATTTGCAAACCTCATATCTGATAAAAGGAATATATCCAAAAGAGTAAAGGAATTCTTGAAATTCAACAATAAGAAGACATACAGTTTACAAATGTAAAAGAGATTTGAACAGACACCTGAACAAAGAAGATACAAGGTGGCAAATAAGCACATGAAAAGATGTTTATCACTATTATCAGGGAATTGGGACTTGAAACAATAATGAAGTAGAAGAAGAAACCTATTAGAATAGCTAAACCTTAAGAAATCAGCAGCCCAAACACTGGCAATGATGTAGGTAACAAAGTCCTCTTATTGCAGATGAAAATACAAAATGGCTTTGCTATTTTGAAAGGCAGTTCATCAATTTCTTATAAAGGTAAGCATAGTTTTAACATATGATCTAACAATCACTCTCCTAGATATTGGTCTGACTGATTTGAAAACTTATGTCCACACATACACACTAAACACGTATTTATAGAAGTTTTAGTCATAATTAAGAAAAACTGGAAGAATCCAAGATGGCCATCTATATATAAGTAAGCAAACTGTGGTAAAATAACACAATGGAATATTACTTAGTAGTATAAAAATAATAAAGAGCTGTAAAGGTATAGAAAGATATCGAAAATCCTCAAATGCATATCACTGATACTAGAACACCATCTGAATAGACTTCATACTATGTGATTACAATTCTTTGACATTCTGAAAAAGGCAAAACTATAGATAAAATAAAAAGATCACCAGAGATTAGAGAAAAGGATGTGTGAATGGGGGAAGTCGAGGAATTTTATATAGTCAGCTATTCTATGATACTACATAGATGAATCAATGACATTGTGCATTCCTGGATCAGGACAACCAGGAAGAATACACACTGTGACAAGAAAATCATACTGTATTACAAATGTATGAAACTACCTTACTGAAGTAGTTATGGGGGTTAGTGTAGCTCATATAATTTAGAAATGAGTGGAATATGCAAATGTAAAGGGAAAAGGAACTGCACATAAACACTGCACTGCTATTAACAAAATTTTTTCTTATGAAGATATGGATTAATAATTCTAATACTGGCATACATATGTATGAGAAATGAACAATTAAGTGGCTGAGTTGATAGTGATAGTCTGTTTTCTCACTGTTGGAGTAGGAATTTATAGATTAATCAAAAAGGTAGGTTAGAATGATTTATGTGGTTATAGAATAGAATTAGAGATATACATAAGAAGTCATGCTTTGCTTAATATAGATGAATATGTTTCCATGTAGATTTATTTATATAATTTGTTGTGTTTTGAAATAATATTATTGAGATCTAAGTGATGTATAAATAATTGCCCGTATTTAATATAAATATTTTGGTGAGTGTGTTAGTTTCTCATTGCTGTGACAAAATACCTGAGCAAAAAGACTAAACTGGGGAAAATTTTATTTTAGCTCACAGTTTCAGGGTTTCAGTCCATGGTTGACCAGCTCCACTGTTTTGGGACTGAGATGAGGCAGAACATTATGGAAGAAGGATGTGGCAGTGGAAAGCTGCTCACCTCATGGCTGCCAGGAAACAGAGAAAGAGAAAAGGGTTCAGGATAAGGTATCACCCCTAAGGGTACTCCCAAGGACCAACCCCAAGGACCCACCCCTTCCAAATAAGTTCCATGTCCTACACTTCATACCAACTCCTTATAGTTCATTTAGCTATGAATCCCTCAATAGATTAAGCCATTGATGAGGTGAGAACCCTCATGATCCAATTACTTGCCAAATCCCCACCTTTGAATATTGCTGCATTGAGGACCAGACTTCAACACTTGAATCTTTATGAGACATTTTATATACAAACCATAACAATGAGTTTGAATACATGGAAAAACCCAAGATAACCATTCACCCCAATCAAGGTAATAGACATCCAACACCTCTCAAAGGTGTGTGTGTGTGTGTGTGTCCCCTAGTTTCTGTTCTGTTTATTGTAAGAATAATTAATTTGATATATAACCTTACATTTTTAAATATTAAACACTGTTGTTTATAGTGATCACTTGTACAGCAGATCTCTAGAATTTATTCCTCTTGCCTAACTGTAATTTTGTAGCCATTGAAAAACTTCTATTTTTTCCCGAAACTGCAGACTCTGGAACCACTACTGTACTCTGTGCTTCTATGAATTTGGTTATTATAGAAAGTAAGTGAAACTGAAGAATTTATGGAAAAAAATTAAAGAAAAATCTTCTTGACCTTGATCCTGACAATGGTTTCTTAGATGTAAGATTAAAAAGCATGTGCTACAAAAGCAAAAATAGAGAAGAGAAACTACTTACACCAAAATTTTTTACAAAGGAAGCAATCCATAATCAATAGAATGAGAAGACAAGCTATTAGAGGGGGGAACATATATTCTTTCTTTCCTTTTTTGTTACTTTTTAAATGGCTTTTTTGAGATATAATTCATGTAAAACATATAATTCACCCATTTAAAGAGTTCAATTTAATGGTTTTAGCAGTATAATTACAGGGTTTGGGAACATTATCCAATCTCTCAATGTGAAATACCATCCAAGTTGAGAACATTTTTTAAACCCACGAAAAGAAACTAGATGAAATAACATTCCCTCTACTTCTCTCACCCAATACCATCATCCCTCAGCAATAAATAAACAAGATTTGCTTATCATTGACACGTCATAAATTACTAGTTTTTTTCACTTACATAATATTCACTGGATTCATCCATGTTGTGGTATCATCAGGACATAACTCCTTAGTATTTCATGATATGGATATAGCCCATTTTACTTATTAATTATCAGCAGGATATTTGGATTGATTTCATTTTTTGGCCAATGAATATTATTGTCCTGAACTTTTGTGTGCATGTTTTTATGTGGACACATAATATCATTTCACTACTTAAAAGTGGAATCTTTTCCAATGCTTGTTATGTGATTTTTTGATCACAGACATTGTAGTGTGTGTGAAGTGGGTTCTCATAATTTTGATTTTGACTCCCCTACTAATTATGTCAAGCATCTTTATATATTTTTATAGTTTATTTGAATATCTTCTATAAGGAAATGTCTGTTCATACCATTTCCCCATTTTTAAAATTGGGCTACGTATCTTTAAATACCATTGAGTTGTAATAAGAATTCCACATATATAATAATATCTGTATATATGTGAGGGATTAGTTCCAGGACCTCTTAGGATACCAAAATCTATAAATGCTCAAATCCCTCATATAAAATGGCATAGTGTTTGCATATAATCTCTATATCTCCTTCCATGTACTTTAAATAAGCTCTATATTATTTATAGCATCTAACATGATATAAATGCTATGTAATCAGTTCTTATACAGATTCCTTAGGAAATAACGACAAGAAATAAAAGTCTGTAAATGTTATTATTATAGAGAGATTTTTCTCAAATATTTTCTATTCACTGTTAATTTTTGATTGAAACATTTGACTATATTTTCATCATATATTGTAGATCAGATATATCATTTTCAATTATCTTTGCTTTTATTCAGCCTCTGTTTTTTTCTTTCTAGAGAAATTATTTTGTAGGAAATGTTTCTAAACTTGATTGAATCCAATTGTTTTTTTTCCTTTGCTATTTTGCTTTTGGTGTCATGTTTAAAAGACTTAGCCTAACACAAGATCACAAAGATTGTTTTCTATGTTTTTGAAACATATTACAAGTTTTATTCTTGAATTTAGGTCATTGATCTATTTTGAGTTAATTTTGTATGGTAATGGGAGGGGTCTGATCTCATCCTTTTACATGAGCCTATTCAAGTATCTCAGCATCATCTGTGTCAAAGATTATTTTTCCCCCTGCCCTGGAATAGTCTTGACCCCCTCCTTGTCAAAGTTCAGATGACCATAAGCATATGTTTTTTTTTATTTTTTATTGACTCTCAATTCTTTTCCATTAATGTAGATGTGCATCCTATATCATTGTCATACTGTCTTAATGACTGTAGCTTTTAGTTAAGTTCTGAAATCAAGGTGAGTCTTTCATTTGTTTGGAAGACTATCTTGATTATCCTTGATCTCTTGAATTTCCACATGAATTTTAAGATTATCATGTCAATTTCTTTAAAAGCAAAACAAAAACTGCTGGGGATTTAAAAGGGATTTCACTAACTGCAGATCAAATTGGGGCATTCTGCCATCTTAATGTTAAATCTTCTTATCCATGAACAAGGGATATATTTCTGTTCATTTAGGTCTGTATGTGCATTTTTACTAGACTGAATCCACATCCCTTCATAACTCAGACATGTATAGGTCTTCTTTTACATTTAACTCTGCTATCTATAAAAACAGAAATAAATGGACAAGGCACAGTGGTGCATACCTGTAAACCCAGGGGCTCTGGAGAGTGGAGCAGAAGGATAATGAGTTCAAAGTCAGCCTTAGCAACTTAGTGAGGCCCTAAGTAACTTAGCAAGACCCTGTCTCTAAATAAAATGTTAAAAAAAAAAAAAAAAGGCTGAGGATGTGGCTCTGCATTTGAGTGTCCCTGGGCCAAATCGCCAATTACAAAAAAAAAAAGAAAAAGAAAGAGAAATGACACTGAATTTCTTCAGGAGAATCTGGGTGCTATAAAAGATGTTGAATCTTCCTCCTCATTTGGAATAATTTATTATACACTAAGTTACATTAAGTTTTCTCCTGATTTCTGAGTGTTTCTTGTATAATAAAACTTACTGAAGGAAAAAAAAAAGGAGATCTTACAGATCTTATAAGATCTTATCTCTTGAAAGTTTTTATAGAAACTTACATAATGCTCATCATCCAAATTTTATGTGTAATATATAAAAGTATACATGTACTTGAAAACATATAAAAATGCTGGAAGAAAACGTACAAATTTGATTAACTGTCTCTAAGAAGAAGTAATGGGATGAAGAAGATAAAGAGGGCTAGGACCAATGTGTTTTTGCCATAAAATAATTTTAATGTTTGTCTGTTTTTATGTCAAATATGCATGCATCACAATAAATATAACTATATCTTAGTAAAAGTTTATATATATATATATATATATATATATATATATATATATATATATATCCTAAGACTAAATAACCTGGCTGACCTTGAAATCAAACGTGGTATTGAATAAATAGCAGGTTTGAAGGTTTGAGCTCACAGTGCAAAGCATTAGTTGAAAGGATATATTTTAATCCTCTCAGGAAATATAGTTGTTGCTGATCTGTTTCTATGAGATTCTATAATATATATGTGTATATATATATATATATGTATATATATATATATATATCTTTTATTTGCTTGATATTTGGCATTCAAATACTATCATTGATTCCATGGTATTCTCATATCTGAGGTGCAATAAGATTTTTATCTTGCTCAGAGGTCTCTGGCAGTAAGTCTGGTGCTCAAAAACACTGAATTTGTTGATACCTACTCAAACTTTGTTGTCATTATCATAAGCAGAGAGTTTTAGAGGCTTCAGTCCATGATCAGTTGGACAGATTGATTTGGGAAATGTAGCACATCACTGCAAGGGTGTGTGCCAGAGCAATATCATTAACCTCATGGCTGAGAAATAAAAGAGTGAGAGCATATTTTAGATTATATGCCTGATAAGGGATTAATTCCAAAATACATAAGAAACTCCTTCAACTCAATAGGAATAATAAATAAATTGAAGATTGTATAAAGAAATTGAACATGTATTCCTCCAAAGAAAACATACAGATTGCAGGATCACATTGGTCCTGCAATCTGTACACGTGGTAAAAATAAGAATTCATACCCCATTTGAATCAAATGTATGATATATGATATGTCAAGATCATTGTAATGTTTTGAACAACCAATAAAAAAAGAAAACATACAAATGGATAACAGGTATATGATAATATGCTACATAACATTAATTATCAGGGAAATGAAAATCAAAGCAATAGTGAGGTGCTGCCTTATACTTGTTTGTATGACTATCATAAAAGATCAAAAGATGAGGTGTTAATGAGGATATGGAGAAATTGGAGCCCTAGCACACTTTAGGTGAAAATATAAAATGATGAAGCAGCTATGAAAAATGGTGTGGAAGCTCATCAAAAAAATGAAACAAGAACATGAGAGAGAGCCTACCAAAAGAATAAAACCTTTTCCAGCTACTCTTCCAATAGGGAATTAATATCCAGAACATACAAAGAACAAAAAAAAATGACAACAAAATACAATAAATAACCCAAATAAATAAATGGGAAAAATATCTAAATAGATATTCAAAAGAAGAAATGCAAAAGTTCAAGAAATATGTGAAAAGAATGATCAATGACTTTAGTCTTTAGGGAAATAAAATCAAAACCACATGGATTTCATCTCATTACATAGAGAATGGCAATCATCAAGACTGCTGGTAAAGATGTGTGAGAAAAGGTACGTTTATATACTGTGGGTAGGACCACAAATTAATACAACTCTAGAAAGCAGTATGGAGATTCCCAAAAGGAATAGAGAAAACATATGAACCAGGTATCTCACCCTTGGATATTTATTCAAAAAAACTAAAATACTATACTACATACTATAGTGATACATGCAGACCAATGTTTGGAGCAGTAGAATTCACAACAGCCAAACTGCAACCAGCTCAGATGCCCATCAATAGATGACTTACTAGATGAAGACAATGTAGTTTTACTCAGCCATAAAGAAGAAAGAAATTATGTCATTTGCTGGTGAGATGAAAGTAAAGAACATCATGCTAAGTGAAGTAAACAAGACTTAGAAAGTCAAAGGTCAAATGTTTTCTCTTATAAGTGGAAGTTAAAGAAAAGAAAGGAATAAAAAAAGATGTCAGCTGGGCGCAGTGGGTGCATGCCTGTAATACCAGCGGCTCTGGAGGCTGAGGCAGGAGGATTGCAAGTTCAAAGCCAACCTCAGCAGACAGCAAGGTGCTAAGCAATTCAATGAGACCCTGTCTCTAAATAAAATACAAAATAGGGCTGGGAATGTGGCTCAGTGGTCGAGTGCCCCTGAGTTCAATCCCTAGTACCAAAAAACAAAACAAAAGAAAAGAATGGGATGTTACAAACATAGAAGGGAGGCCAAAAGAGTAAAAGCAGGGAGGAGGGAAGAGCATTTGGAACTATCACAGATTTAAATCTACCAAATTATTCTACGTCCATACACC